TTTTCTTTCCCTTTGTCTTTTTCTTCTTTCCGTTTCATTTCCATGTCGTCTATTTTGGAGTCGATACTCCAACAACCTGGAACCGAATTAAAGATAAAAAGAACTAGGGGGGGGATAAATGATGAATGATAAGAATTGGTTGAGGAGGAATTGAATTGAATTTCTTCAAATAACAACCAAATCACAGATGAAAATTCATATGCCTCTCTCGCACATGGGTTGGTTGGATATATAACCAACCAAACAAAAGTTGCATTTTCAGAAAGAAAGAGGAAAAATGTTTTCTTAATTCATTACAATTTTAATTAAGTAAAACGATGCCATCGAGTACTTCAAAAAGCTGATAATTTCTGTTGGTCACCTTCTTCCACTTCTTCTGGTTTCTTCTTCTTCTTTTCTCTTCTTGATCTGATCCCTATCTTTCCCCACTTACTCCCCCACATAACATCACATTTTGAATACTTTTACCTTGTGCAAGTATGAAAATTATGTATTGAATACAAGTGATGAACTTTGGCTGATTTGAATAAATCATCACAAATGGATATTATCTCCTGTATATATACGAGTACAGTTGAGTAAGAGCTTGAAGTATTTAGCCTTATTAACTGTCTTCTCATCCAGCAGCACAATGGCTGATTGGTCGAAGCTTCCATATGACCTTGTTGTATCAATTGCGAATCAATTGTTTGATGTTGTGGATTTTCTTTCGTTTTCTGCTGTTTGTCGTTGTTGGCGACTGGTTTATCTCAAGAAACATTGGATCTCAAGTCATCATATTCCTTGGCTCATGCTTCGTGAGTTCACTGAAGGTGACGTCTCCGTAAGACAATTCTTAAGTTTGACCCGATTTAAGATCTACAAATTTCCTCTACCGGAAGCTAATGGTTGCCGTTGCTGGGGAACCTCTCATGGGTGGGTTGTGACTCTCAGTCAAAGTTTTGCAATTCGTCTCGTGAACCCCCTCACTCGAGCTTGCCTCGATCTTCCTCACCATTCCATGTTGAGGAGCCAAGGTCATATTGAAGTTGATTGGTTTGCAGCCATACAAAATGCCTTTGTCCTGAAAGTTCGAGATGAGTTTGTGACAATGGTTATATATAGCCATAATCGCTGTTTGTCTTTTGCTAAATATGGAGATGGCACATGGACTGTTGTGCCGTTCTCCATTCCAGTTTACCTCATAAATATTGTGTGTTTTAAAGATAAAATTTTGGCACTTACGATGGTTGGAACACTAATCCTAGTAGAAATTGAGGGGCCTGATTGTCCAAGAGCACGCTGCATTGCTTCGCCACCGGCAGATGAGAGGGGTTGGGAGAACATGTATTTGGTAGAATCATCTGAAAATCTTCTGCTCGTATTGCGTTATAATCATCACTGTACGCACCAGTTTAAAGTTTACAAGTTTGATATATTCAAAAGGAAGTGGATGGCAGCAGTGGACTTGGAGAATAATGTATTATTGGTTGATGATTATGGTTGTACTTCAGTTTCTGCTTGTGGCTCTATCAAACCTAATTGCATCTACTCTGCACAAGATAACTTGGGATTTTCGTTGGTACCTCAGCTAGATCAGAAAATAATTGTGCGCAACATCAAGGATAACAGCACTGATGTTCATGGAATCTTTCATGGACCCAATGCTTCTACTTCTTATGACTGTCCAGTGTGGACAACGCTTGCCTTGTGGTAGAAAGTTTTTTTTTTTGTGTGTGTGTGTGTGAGTCTAAAAACTGATTGTATAAACAGCCAAAAAATCTGAAATCTTCTGTGACTCTGCATCTTAATCATATTTATGTACAAGTAGTTTATTTGATACGTTGAAACTGTTCATTGTTTATTGCAATCTGTTAGGACTTAATTGCAAGAAAATTTTTAGAAATGTGTGATGATTTATGCTTTGCTAATGGCTCTACAAGTTTGGCTATGCTGACTGTGGGATCTATATTGGATTAAAAACGCTGTTAGTATGGTTTCACTTGAGTCATCGAAGCTTTTCTGCTCTAGTTTCTGTGCTTACGTCGACATTCTTCTTGTAATTTAGGCACATCATCTGACTCTTTACTTACCAGTCTTGATAAGAAATTTCTCGTGATTTGTTCAAATATATTTGTTTCTTGGAATCAATTAACTTTGTATTTGTGATGTAAATTTAACTAAACCGAATAATTATGTAATACGTTTTGGAACAATATGATAAGCTTAATTACCATAATATTGTTTAACCTTTCGTCGAAAGACCCCTTTCGCCTTAAATTGTAGTTTAAAATAGGTTGGACATGGTCGAGTTCGGTTTAATTCTAAAGAGAATCGAACTGAATCAAAATTTTCAGGTATTTAGTAAATGAAATTGTTTAGTCCAAATTTAATTATGGAATCGAACTGGTTCAGTTTCATTTAGTTTCGATTCGATTCTATTCAATTATGTACCATAATTAAAAAAATTTAACATTTATAACACTACATTAATCTAATTAATGACATGTTCAATCTTAACTTTTACAAAATAACGTAGTTTGACCTTAAAATATACAAATATCAAGTTGTCTAATAAGATCCATTCACTAATGCATAGAGATTACCAAAAAGTAAATAATAACACTAAAACATCAGTTATTCCAACTTATTGATTCATTTATGAAGCATTCAAATCTCATAAAAAATGAAGCATAGATACTGAACTAAATACTGACTCGGAAGCAACTATAGATATAGGAATGACAAATACATCCCTTGCAACCTCATATAAAAATTCGAACCTTGGTTTATTGATCTTTTACCAATTTAAAATGTAGTTTTCATCAATAATATTTTCAATGGGTTCCATTAAATATTGTTGTACCTCATCTTCCCAAAAAAATCCATTTTGCAAGATTTCATTTTCGTGAACCCAATTATTATCATCTAAACCCTACAACAACAAATAAGATAAGCAAATAGAAAGGGATGCTCTAAGATGTCTTAGCTTTAACTTTAAAGGTAAATTGGATTTTCATGGATCTACTACTTACTACGTTACACATTGACCGTGATAAATTATTATAAAGACATGAGATGAAGCTTACTTTGATCAAAGTGAAGGAAATTCAATGAATATGGCATAGAAATGGTGAGAACAAGACAGGCCCAGCCACTCAGCTTCTATTACTTGAGAAATGGGAAAATAATTGAAAAAAACTTAGATCGCTTAATTTTGATTCTTAAAATTTGAATTACAAAGTTGGGCTTGAGTTGAATATAGGAAAATGATATTTTGAGCTCAATTAATTAGTTGATAAATAAAACACTAAAATGATATTTTTGGGCTCAATTAATTAGTTGGCAAATGTACTTTAATTAAAAATAATTTGATTTATTTAGTATAAAAACAATTTTTTTTTAAAAAAAGGTAGATTTGGTTTTTTCTTAGTCTAGAACCGACAACCGAGCCGAACCCTTTGGTTCTCGATTCTAACATCCATTCGAGTATTTAATTTAATTTCGGGTCCGATTTGATTGGGTTCCGTTCAGTAGTTTTGTCCAACCTTAATTTAAAAGATGCTATTAATTTATAAAATATTGGGGTACTTACAAAAATACCCTTAAAATTATGGATGTTTTAAGTAACACAATGTTACTTTTTTATTTAAAAAAAAGTCAATTTTTTACTTTAAAAAAAAAAAGTGACACAAACTCAAAAAAGTAACAAAAATAAAAAAAAGTGAAAATTACCAAAATAACATCATCCATTTGTGCAGTACTAGTAATCATGTTTTTAAAATAATCACCATATTCAGGTCAATTCACATGCTGATTATGTTAAGAAATATAACATATTATTTAATTTGTTTTCTTCTTAAAAGTGACAAAAACTTA